CCTTGACGACATATTAGTCGCTTCCAAAGGAAGTTTTAACGATCACAAGAAAATTGTTCATAAAATTTTATCAACGCTAGATAGTTACAATTTCGCAGTTAAATGGTCGAAATGCAAATTCTTCCAAAAAGAAATTGAATGGCTCGGCTTTAAAATATCGAAATCCGGAATCGGCCCACTGTTCGATAAAACCAAGGCAATCAAAGATATTCCAATTCCAAAGAATCTAAAAGAATTAAGATCATTCTTCGGGTCAACTAATCAGTACATTAAATTTGTACCAAATTTAGCATCCCTCGGAAGCCCGCTTAGACCTCTTTTAAACATGAAGTCAATTTTCCTTTGGAACGAAGATCACTCAAAATCATTCGATAAGATTAAATCAGAAATAGTAAATATTACTGAAAACACCCACTTCGAGGTAAAAAAAGCCCACGAGAGTAAAAATCGATGCTTCACATAATGGGTTAGGTACATCCCTTGAACTCCATGAGAACGTTTGGAAAACAGTGTCATTTGCTTCAAGATTTTAAAATCCTCATGAATCCAAATATTCAACAAACGAATTAGAGTTATTAGGAGTTGTATGGGCGGTGGAACATTACAAAATTTATCTCTACGGCTCCGAATTCGAAATTATTACCGACCACAAAGCTCTCCTTTCCACTTTTTCACCTAATCACGGAAACAAAACGTACCATAGCCGATTGACAAGATGGGTAGATCGTCTTCTACCAATCAATTTTACTATCAAGCATTTAGCGGGAAAAGATATGGGTTTTACCGACTTAATTTCAAGAACTCCTTCGGGTAAAGCAATTCCCCCATCACATTAAGACGAAGAATTCGTAGTTGCAACTACCAAAAAATATATAATGCACTCAATCCTTTGGATAATGAAAATCCATTACGTAATTCAATTAATTCAATTTCGGAAAGTTCCCAGTACACGAAATTACGAAATCACGTAATAATTACAGCATTGAATTTCGTCAATTCTTCCATCTCAATCTGCAATCAAAAACACTATAGAACAGAATTTTGTAACTCTAAATGTATTCCCTCGGATTTCTCAAGTTTCCAAATTTCCTCAGAGCACAAAAAGTTAGTAACTAAATTTCGAGAAAACCTCAAGTTACCTGAAAGACCTTTGGATTTAAATACATTATTCAATGCAAAGTTGGTTGCTTTATTAACGGAAGATGATGAGATGTTAAACCCAATTGTGAAGGCTTTACAGAAAAAAGTAAAAAACATCAACGCCAATTCCCGTTATTTACACCAATTTTCGAAAGACCTTCATGAATCCGACGGACTATTATATATGGATGGAAAATTGGTTATTCCGTTTACACTTAGAAACGCCCTTTCAAAAACTTTACATGAATCTCACCCTAGCCAATTCGGTATGAAATACCTGGCACAAAATCTTTGGTGGCCACATATAAACCGGCAAATTTACTTCCACGGGATTAATTGCACACAATGCACCCAAACCGGTAAGAATATAAAAAGCATCATACCAACTACACAAATTAGCGAACTTCCCGCTTTATTTGAACCTAATGAGGAATTAAACCTAGATTTTGCCGGCCCATTAGATAACAACTGGGGAAACAATAAATACATCTTATTATGTATAGATCGTTTTTCAAAATTCCCATCAGCAAAAATTACATCTTCAACGTCATCAAACACGGTAATCGAATTCCTGCAAGATTATTTTTATCTCCATGGGATTCCTAACTCTATTTGTGTTGACCACGCATCCTGTTTTACTAGTCAGAATTTTAAATGATTTTGTAATTCTCTTAATATCAAATTAATATTTTGTACAGTTGGGGACCATCGTTCTAACGGTCTTGTAGAAAAACTTGTTCATACTGTAAAAATCAAGTTATTAGCAATGTCTTTAGAACAACAAAAACCTACATTACAAACTGCCATCTCGAAAATCATTTGGAATTTACGATCTTCCTTTCAATCAAAAATAAAACGCTCACCGTTCGAAATACACTTTAATAGAAAACCGAACACGATCTGGAAGCAATTGGCATCTAGTAAATTATCCGGTGGATTTTTAGACAAAGGGAAGTCGATCTTAAGCAGAGAAAGGGCCCTTGACTGGAACGCTGACGATCGGATAGAGGACGGATACAAAGACTTTCTTGTACCGAAAAAGAACCAGTCACCATTGGAGAAAGTCTACGATTCAGACCTTCCTACAACCTCAAAACCTTCATCTTGTTGAGTGTCCTTAAACAGTCCGTTTAAAGGTAATTTACTACAAAAAACCAACGGAAGTATAAACGGAAATCCCTTCTATAAACAATTAGGCCAGAAAAAAATAAACTCAACAAAATCCACGGTTGAACTATCCGACGGAAAAATCATTAGAAAATCGGACATCGCCATCCCAAAGTCTAAACCCTCTACAATCCGTTCATTCAAAGGAAATATCTCTTTTCCCTCTTTTTCTAACAGTGATTTACAAGTAGGTCCAAGAAAGACAAACAAATCGAAGACGCGGAAACTAGTCACTAAGACAGGACGACACACAGAGTCTTTCACCCCGGTCACCACCAGATCTAGAGGAACGAAACAGCCTACTAAATTCAACAAATCGAAGCGAAACCGAAATAAAGCCTCGACTTCGAACACAGGATACTTAGCAGGTGATGAATCCATGTTCATTCCGTCGGATACGTCGGACATTAGTGATTGGGAATGGATTGCGGGAGGTTTTCCATGCAGAGAAATGATAAAAAAACGCTTCATTTCAGATAACCTCATTTTTAATGAAGAACCTATCCCATCATTAGATCCTCAAACATATCAAACTAATATAAAATCTGACATTTTAGACGAACAACTTCAATCTACAGATACAGCGGAATGCCCAATTAGTATAAAGCCAGCACCTCAAACTACCTCACACCCACCTGGCGAATCTTCTACCGCTACGACAACAGAGGGCCCAAACACTCCTTCGGATTCAACAAAAGCATTGGAAGGAGAAAATCCGGTCGAATTTCGAGTCTTTGAGATAGAGGACCCCTTTGACCAAATTGCAACTAGTGAGGAAAAACATCCTAAAGAAATCACTATCACCGGTAATGAATTTAAATTAAGTCGTTCAAGTCGAAATGTTTGTCCCCCACAATTCCATGGCAAGCGATATTACATAGATATTATAGATGAGTTCGAAAACCAACCAGGCTCCGCTAATAACCCTATATCTCTGGACGAGGGTAACAGCTCGGGCTCCCCCACACAAACCTTCAGAGAGAATCTCTCGGATAACCAGACCCACATTTGCGACACTCTACCGGAGGACCGTGCACCGGGCCCAGCGTACCCTCCATCTCCTGATCAATTCTCCATCGCCTCTACTGACGAATCCCTAAAGATGCGGTGAATAGTTTCGACAACTACATCGACTTAGACAGTGAAATTTTTAACGCCGAGCTAGAAAAATTCATGGAAGGGGACAACTAAACTCAATCAAAAACTTGAAAACTCGCATTTAGTCATTTATAATCGTACTAGTATTTTGTTTCAGCGCAGTTAGAGTTTACCTATTTATAACTAGGGATTGTAATCCGCCGGAATTAGGAATTATATCATTCTTTCTAATTCAGTCATTCCTTCGGAGCACTAAAATTTCATTTGTTATATCGTGCAGTATTTAATTTTCAATCCTTGTTGGACTTCTCGAGAGGGAGAAAAAGGGTTAGATAACATGTTATGTATCATGGCGCTTGGTACTTCAATTTTTTTCCCACTAAGGGGAATGTTGCGAATCTTACCATTCGTCTTATTTCATTTAATTAGTCTTAAAGTATCTTAACTGGTTAATTTAGATTTGACCTTGTTATCTTCATTCTCTCCGACGGAGAGAATGACCGCTCACTTTTTAATGTTTTAATTTAGAGATTATTTCACTTTTTAAACATATCTTATTTGTAACTAAGTAGAACTATCCGTAACAAAGAAACATTTTATCACCCCTAAAAATGCAATATTTGAATCACTTAGCTGGTCATAATTTTGAGCCGTCTACGTATTGACAGAAAATTGGAAACTGTGCGAATTATATATTTCATTTAGCAGCTTTCAAAACAATAGATTTACAAAAAAAGTCGCAGATGAAATGAATTTTGAGCTTAGGGCTTTTACTCTTTTAGACGAGGCAACAATTTGGTCAATAAATCGAGCAAAAAAAATTGGCAAAAAAACAACGAGCACAAATCCGTCTTTTATTTCGAAAGTCGGACCGATTACCAAATTATTTGGAAATAAAATGGAGCTGTTTCAACTAATGTTTTAAAAGCAGAATCGGTGCTTAAGTGGTCTCAACAATTTCAATTTTCGAGCGACCAGTTATGGAAAAAAAAATTTCGGTGAAGTGAATCGAAAATTTTTGAAAAAAAAATCGGTCCTTTTTCTGGTGAAAACGTTTTTGGTATACGAAAAAAATAGCTTCAGCCTAAAAAAGAGTATTGGACGTTATGGAGAAAGTGGCAGCCTGAGTCGAGCTGGGTTGCGGCGGTGACCACTCCCCTTTCATGAATTTATAACACAAAGTATTTCAAATGGTTGCAAAACTCTTTGATTGGCATAAATAACAATTCCAATTAATAAATAAGTAAATAGCTCAGTAAGTTTAAGTCGACGTTCATTCTTGGAACAAAAATTGATTTTTTTTGCGAAAGTCAGCTTGTTTTTTTTTGTACTTTTGCTTTGACCTCACCTTCGATTCGGGGATATCAATGGTTGATTTTACTTATCATTATTATCCATTTCCTGGGACCAAATTTTGCTTTTCCGTTTCCTTAGCACTCGGAAATCCTTAATGTGATTGTTGGCCACAATAAACAACAACCAGCCCTTAGATATTCAATTATCAGAGAACATGGACAGCAAATAAACCAGCAATTTCCATTATTGTTTTACAGCACTTTTTAAAAAGTTATCGGCGATAAAGTTTAACAGCACGATTCAACAGCAGGCTGAAAATAAATAGATGAAAAGTTTTAATGCTTTTAACTACCACTTTCAGCTATCAGTTTATTATGTAGCTCTTGAAAAATCGTTTCAATAAAATGTGTGCGACATATGGTTAACACGCATTGTTTTATTTGAATGAACTATTTTTTTAAAAGATAGCTGCATGCTGTCAAAACATCATTCCATGATAAATACATTGAAGCAGACGTCACTTGAAGCCTCAGAGATTGAAAAGCCATGTTTTGGAAATTTTATTACAATTGCCCTAGATTTTTCAATATCTGTTTATAGAGAAAGAAAGTATTTCATTTAATTTTCTAGTCTTTATTCCAATATCAGTATTACATACCAGTAAAATAAGTATGATTTCGGCGCTCGGATCGAGGTTGTTCCGGCGGAAAACACTCGAAGCCGACGTTATGAAAACCGAGCTGAACCGATGTCTGAAAACTTCCGACTTGGTTCTAATCGGAATCGGATCTATGGTTGGCAGTGGAATGTACGTTCTAACCGGGGAAATCACTCACACTACAACCGGACCTGCAATCGTCCTCTCGTTCCTAGTCGCCGGGCTCGTGTCGGGTCTCTCGGCTTGGTGCTATGCCGAGTTCGGATCTCAAGTGCCGAAGGCTGGTTCGGCATATGTCTACACGTACTTGACAATCGGAGAGTTTGCGGCTTTCGTGATTGGCTGGAATCTCATTCTCGAGCACGTGATAGGTGCGGCAGCTATTGTTCGGGGGTTAATGGGTTACATCAATGAGATTTCGAACGAATGGTTTGAGAACTCTCTTCCAGAAACTTTTCAGGATCAGAAGTTTGATCCCTATACAAGCGTTATTGTTCTGGTCATATGCTGTCTAGTTTGTCTAGGTGAGTCCTGAAAAACTTTAAAATTTGTTGATTGATTTCATTAAAACTTAAAAGATTTAGCATTTTTCAAAGTCACAATTTGAAAATACATAATCAAAATTCCAAAGTTCAAAAAGACAAGAGCGCATATAGGACTTTCTTGAAGGGCATTTTAAGGGAAGTTTAGAAAAACAGACAAAAGCAATGTTTTTAAGCTTTTATTGGAAGGTTTTGACTAACAAATTGTGTCAGGCGAGGGTTCAAATTCTTGAATAGAGATGCGTACGCCTTTTCTCTTCACGAAATTGGCTACTGCAAAGGAGAGATAACAAGAATCATAATAAATTGTTTCCCAACGATATCAAATTACAGAATTATTTTTAAAAAAATACAAACACAAATCTGAATCGTAATGGCAGAACACCATTAAATACGGCCCGTTTTCAGGTGTCTAATCGAGCGGAAAACAAATAAATAGTTAAATTCTTAGATCCAATTGATTGTTCTACGCTTTTCCTAAAAAACAAAACACTTTTTGTTTTCTTGGTCAATCAGAAATTTAAAAAATATCAGAGCCTGCCCAATATGGTCGCATTTCCTAGAATGTAGTTTTCCAATAACTTCTGAATAAAACTCTTCAATTGAATCAAAGAAGCTCCTATCAAAAAACTGACCCAGGTGAGAAAAAGTTTCAAACAATATTAAACATTTTTCGAACTTTAGCTCTTTTCGACCCTCTGGTGACTTTTTTTTCTATTTATAGCTAATGTTTGATTTGGTTTAGACTTTGTATATATGGTGTTTATGAGATACTAAGTCGCTGATTGTCAATCAAAAGCCCGGTAATGTGAGTCTCCGTCAAATTTCGTTCCTTGATTGTGGAATCAACGACAATTTTTTTTGCTTTTTTTGTAATCAAATTCATCCCTATTCTTGATAATGTGGACTTAGAGATTGTTTTCATTCGATTCTGTAGGTAATACAGCATCACTTGAAAATTGGATTGGAGATTTCAGAGATAATATCTCCGAGGAAAAAATATTTTTGTTCCCTTCAATAAAAATGGGGAGGACCCTGCATTCGGGTGTGTTTTAGTTATTTTTTCCTTTTTCTTTTTTTTTTGTTTTCCACGTAAAATCAAGTACCACAAATGAACATCGGAAAGTGATATATCATAATAAAGACCTTTCAGTTGTGATTCGAAGGACAATACAAAATTTGAAGATAAATATCTCAATGTCGGAAACAAACCATTTGAAATTTTTGATTTTTGATCTGGTTTAGAGTGAATAAGTTGAGCGAGCGTGCTTAAAATAGCTATTTATGCTTAATTCTAACCGCGAAAACTTAATTTTACTGGAATAAAGTTAGTTTTTAGAGTTAGTTTGCGACATTTTTGGAATCAAAATTTCCAAAAAAAATTTTCAAAACATTTCTGCTAAAAAATGGAAAAATTTTAAATTTTTTTTTGATTTTTTAATGATTTTTTGTTTTCTGACTCTATTCATTTTTTTTCAAATACTGTTTTCCAGTTTGCCTTTTTTATCATGACTGTCGAATATGCCCAAGTTCCAGAGAACTTAGCTTGTAAATCTTAAGACTATGATCGGAACATTCTGTGCTATTGGCTATCCTTGTTCCTAATCGTTTTCATATCAATTTCTTAAACGTCAGTATTGTTTCAGGCGTAAAAGAGTCAGTCTTGGCCAACAATTTCCTCACATTAATCAATATCTCAGTCGCTTTCTTCGTCATCTTCGGAGGTATCTATTTCTTCAACTGGTCCAACTTCTCCTCGCCAGATGGATTCTTTCCTTTTGGTGTGGGGTCTATTCTAGATGGAGCAGCCCAGGCATATTTCGCCTTCGTTGGCTACGACTCAATTGCAATAGCAAGTGAAGAGGCTCTCACGCCTTCGTTTTCGATTCCGTTCGCACTCGCTTTCGACGTCCTGTTTGTCGGCTCGTTGTACTGCGCCGTATCCTTCTCGTTGATTCTTCTCGTGCCGTACGATAAAGTCGACGAAGACGCCGCCTTCGCTTCGGCTTTCAAGTACAATGGGTGGCAGTGGGCAGCGTACGTCGTGTCTATAGGGGCCATAGCGGCCATGACTTGCGCTATGCTTGGAACTGTGTTCACGATGCCAAGATGCATTTACGCTATGGCCAACGACGGTCTGATTTTCAGATCCCTCGCCAAAGTCAGTCCAAAAACTCAAACTCCAATTATAGCCACAATTCTGGGTTCTCTTGGGATTGCAGTTTTTGCGTTCTTTTTAACCTTGAACGAACTTGCTGAATTTATGTCAATCGGAACTTTACTCGCCTATATAATAATCGCCCTGGCTGTTATTGTGCTCCGTTATTCGCCAAACAGTTTGCTCAAACATTCGGATTTGGACTTGAGTATAAATGAAGGACCTCGCTTGGGAAAGGCTCAAATAAACAGTCTTTCACTTTTTGTAGTTATGGTTATGGCCACTAATCTTTTTATTGCATGTGCTTCTTGGGTCTCTGACGAGTATTTATGGCCGATGGTTGCTGTTATTTCCATTTCAAGTATTATAACCTTTGTTATTTTGATTTACTTGGATGCTATTTCAACGGAAAACCCTAATTTGAATGAGTTCAGGGTTCCCTTTGTTCCTTATTTACCTGGATTGTCAGTATTTATTAACTTTCAACTCATGACCCGGCTGAACTATTTCACGTGGATTCGCTTTGCCCTGTGGATGCTGGTCGGTTTTGTAGTTTATTTTCTATATGGAATGCGCAATAGCTCTTTGTGTCGAGAAAAAGTGGAAAATAATCAAAAAGTTTATGGATCGACGGATGAAACCAAACATCTGCATGAAGAATCTTCGATTACGAGCGAGTAGAATTAATGCTCACGAGAGCTGCAAAATCTAAATTGGTGCACTTGATTCCAAATCAAATGACCTTAAATTGTATTTATTTAATTAATTCTTGAAATAGAAACGTATATTTAATTTTCTACTTCTAAGTTAAACATAAAACAAAGGTCTTTTCATATCTGACATAATGAATTCGAAGCAGTATTTGAAATTGTTTTCAGCGGTTTCAAATCAACAAGTTTTGTGTTTGAATCAACCTCTGCTGTTTTGAAGTGAATATCTATACCCCCACATGTTCGCATATTCTTTAAACAATCACCCGATATACTTGTATACCCACCAACACTTGCTATTTTTGCATATTTTAAGGCTGGCCTTCGAGACATTAAACTCGGGGTAATGCAAGGGTTTTCCTCAGCATTTTTATTGAGTTAATTGAAGGCGGAAAATAGAAACTGAATAAAAACTTTGTTAAATCAAAATTTTTACATGTTTTCTATATCAAAACTCTAATACTACTCTCGGTTGATATGCTGCAAATGTTTGAAGGTTTTCATCTGAAAATAGATTTTGACATTTTTTTCGCGCATGGCTTGTCTTTTTGATGAAATCCGGTTCCGTATTCTTTGTTTTTGACCTAACCTGCCGCAAAAATTCATAAAACGACTGACCAGCTGCACTTTAAGCAAGCTGCTTGTTGAGGGGAGGAGGTGCATCAGATGGCTGCGGCGCATAGGCAGTTGGAGTTGCGAGTTGCGAGTATCCAGTGTTTCCACAGTGTCCAGAATGATACTGTGGGTATGCTCCAACGTTTGCATTCCTCATCCTAAAACTTTTGTCAAGAGACAATTTAGGCAATAAACAAACAATCATATTACATAATTGTTTAATTAAAAACGAACTGTACAATCTGGTAATTAAACCTCACAAATAAACAATAGGATATATCAGGTCGAAAAGACAAACACGCAAGAAGACAATAATAACAAAACAAAATCAAATTATCAAAAAACGAGTTTCAAAAATACGAAACGCAGTTTCAGAATCAGATACAAACACGATACCAGAACTTCAGGTAATAAAAGACTCGATAAACACGAAAAAACCGCTAGAAAAGCAAAGACATATTGAAAGTTACACATTAACAGTCTAAAGATACAAAAAATGATCGAATACAACAAAAATATCGAAGACAAATTAATACTCCCAATTTTTATTTTACTTAATTATAAATTCAATTGAAAAAGGTTACAGCCCATGTAAACAGGAATTTCCCGAAATGAGAATAAAAAGACAAATCCTTGACCACTACCTCAAAGCAATATGTAATATAACATCCCAATATGGTATATTTACAATAGAAATATTTTCACCAAAACCAAACCATCCTATACATCAAATACAAACAGATGACATAGATGCAGAATTCTCAAAAGTTTTCACAGAATATATAAAAAATATAAAACACCAAAATTCACAAAGAGCAAATTTAGTCTTTACAAATGATTTCTTTTTACTTATTTACAGCTATATATTTATATTGGAATTGAAAGAAACACAGAGTCTATCACCACTTCAAACATCTGGACATTCAATTGTAAGACATAAAATGAATATTTTCTCAAAAATTCTAGATCCAAACCGTGAAAATTTTTTAAAAGAAATTCACAAAATGTCAAACACGACCTACAAAAAATCTTAGCATGGTTTATAATTGATTACTTTTTTCACAATATCGATTTCATAAGGCAACCAAAAAAAAATTTTCGATAAAAAAACTCAGATGACGAAACGGTATTAGCAGATGAAACAGATTAAGTTTGGGACCCTGATTGTTCTCATCCATCAATTATTAAAATAACAACAGATGAATAAATTGCAGCAATTACAACTAACTCCGTAGATAGTAATACGTTAAATTAACTCCACTAACTTTTGATGCAAACTATTTCAAACTTTAATACGATAGTTAACGATAGGACAGGAAATAATAGTCTAAACTCCACATTTATTAATACACAAAAAAATTAAATGGAACAAGGAAATTTACACAAAAAGGTATTCAAACTCCATCACACTTTGTTAATGAAGAAATAGTAGAAACAATGCTAACGACAACACAACAAAGCATTTCTCCTATTCACCTCGGATTTCAACACAACAAAGTTTCCAAATTTCCTCAGAGCACAAAAAGTTAGTAACTAAATTTCGAGAAAACCTCAAGTTACCTGAAAGACCTTTGGATTTAAATACATTATTCAATGCAAAGTTGGTTGCTTTATTAACGGAAGATGATGAGATGTTAAACCCAATTGTGAAGGCTTTACAGAAAAAAGTAAAAAACATCAACGCCAATTCCCGTTATTTACACCAATTTTCGAAAGACCTTCATGAATCCGACGGACTATTATATATGGATGGAAAATTGGTTATTCCGTTTACACTTAGAAACGCCCTTTCAAAAACTTTACATGAATCTCACCCTAGCCAATTCGGTATGAAATACCTGGCACAAAATTTTTGGTGGCCACATATAAACCGGCAAATTTACTTCCACGGGATTAATTGCACACAATGCACCCAAACCGGTAAGAATATAAAAAGCATCATACCAACTACACAAATTAGCGAACTTCCCGCTTTATTTGAACCTAATGAGGAATTAAACCTAGATTTTGCCGGCCCATTAGATAACAACTGGGGAAACAATAAATACATCTTATTATGTATAGATCGTTTTTCAAAATTCCCATCAGCAAAAATTACATCTTCAACGTCATCAAACACGGTAATCGAATTCCTGCAAGATTATTTTTATCTCCATGGGATTCCTAACTCTATTTGTGTTGACCACGCATCCTGTTTTACTAGTCAGAATTTTAAATGATTTTGTAATTCTCTTAATATCAAATTAATATTTTGTACAGTTGGGGACCATCGTTCTAACGGTCTTGTAGAAAAACTTGTTCATACTGTAAAAATCAAGTTATTAGCAATGTCTTTAGAACAACAAAAACCTACATTACAAACTGCCATCTCGAAAATCATTTGGAATTTACGATCTTCCTTTCAATCAAAAATAAAACGCTCACCGTTCGAAATACACTTTAATAGAAAACCGAACACGATCTGGAAGCAATTGGCATCTAGTAAATTATCCGGTGGATTTTTAGACAAAGGGAAGTCGATCTTAAGCAGAGAAAGGGCCCTTGACTGGAACGCTGACGATCGGATAGAGGACGGATACAAAGACTTTCTTGTACCGAAAAAGAACCAGTCACCATTGGAGAAAGTCTACGATTCAGACCTTCCTACAACCTCAAAACCTTCATCTTGTTGAGTGTCCTTAAACAGTCCGTTTAAAGGTAATTTACTACAAAAAACCAACGGAAGTATAAACGGAAATCCCTTCTATAAACAATTAGGCCAGAAAAAAATAAACTCAACAAAATCCACGGTTGAACTATCCGACGGAAAAATCATTAGAAAATCGGACATCGCCATCCCAAAGTCTAAACCCTCTACAATCCGTTCATTCAAAGGAAATATCTCTTTTCCCTCTTTTTCTAACAGTGATTTACAAGTAGGTCCAAGAAAGACAAACAAATCGAAGACGCGGAAACTAGTCACTAAGACAGGACGACACACAGAGTCTTTCACCCCGGTCACCACCAGATCTAGAGGAACGAAACAGCCTACTAAATTCAACAAATCGAAGCGAAACCGAAATAAAGCCTCGACTTCGAACACAGGATACTTAGCAGGTGATGAATCCATGTTCATTCCGTCGGATACGTCGGACATTAGTGATTGGGAATGGATTGCGGGAGGTTTTCCATGCAGAGAAATGATAAAAAAACGCTTCATTTCAGATAACCTCATTTTTAATGAAGAACCTATCCCATCATTAGATCCTCAAACATATCAAACTAATATAAAATCTGACATTTTAGACGAACAACTTCAATCTACAGATACAGCGGAATGCCCAATTAGTATAAAGCCAGCACCTCAAACTACCTCACACCCACCTGGCGAATCTTCTACCGCTACGACAACAGAGGGCCCAAACACTCCTTCGGATTCAACAAAAGCATTGGAAGGAGAAAATCCGGTCGAATTTCGAGTCTTTGAGATAGAGGACTCCTTTGACCAAATTGCAACTAGTGAGGAAAAACATCCTAAAGAAATCACTATCACCGGTAATGAATTTAAATTAAGACGTTCAAGTCGAAATGTTTGTCCCCCACAATTCCATGGCAAGCGATATTACATAGATATTATAGATGAGTTCGAAAACCAACCAGGCTCCGCTAATAACCCTATATCTCTGGACGAGGGTAACAGCTCGGGCTCCCCCACACAAACCTTCAGAGAGAATCTCTCGGATAACCAGACCCACATTTGCGACACTCTACCGGAGGACCGTGCACCGGGCCCAGCGTACCCTCCATCTCCTGATCAATTCTCCATCGCCTCTACTGACGAATCCCTAAAGATGCGGTGAATAGTTTCGACAACTACATCGACTTAGACAGTGAAATTTTTAACGCCGAGCTAGAAAAATTCATGGAAGGGGACAACTAAACTCAATCAAAAACTTGAAAACTCGCATTTAGTCATTTATAATCGTACTAGTATTTTGTTTCAGCGCAGTTAGAGTTTACCTATTTATAACTAGGGATTGTAATCCGCCGGAATTAGGAATTATATCATTCTTTCTAATTCAGTCATTCCTTCGGAGCACTAAAATTTCATTTGTTATATCGTGCAGTATTTAATTTTCAATCCTTGTTGGACTTCTCGAGAGGGAGAAAAAGGGTTAGATAACATGTTATGTATCATGGCGCTTGGTACTTCAATTTTTTTCCCACTAAGGGGAATGTTGCGAATCTTACCATTCGTCTTATTTCATTTAATTAGTCTTAAAGTATCTTAACTGGTTAATTTAGATTTGACCTTGTTATCTTCATTCTCTCCGACGGAGAGAATGACCGCTCACTTTTTAATGTTTTAATTTAGAGATTATTTCACTTTTTAAACATATCTTATTTGTAACTAAGTAGAACTATCCGTAACAAAGAAACATTTTATCACCCCTAAAAATGCAATATTTGAATCACTTAGCTGGTCAT